CTATCCAATCACTGAACGTCACTTTTGATCCTTCATTTGCATAACTATCTACAGTATACCCCTGCTGGCCCAGGGTGAGAACTTCAGTACATAACATCAACTGCCTCATGATTCAGATGGAACAGAAGGACAGAGGTGGGTATAATTAAATATTGCTAACTCCTAACTCCTCATCTCCTTATGACCACTCCCAGTAGATTCAGACACAGTTAAATAGCATGGGAACAAGATTGACCCCTGTATTTCCAACTTTCACAGTGCCTTAGAGGGGCCCCCAATAACTGCTTTCTGTAAATGGCTCTAGAGGCAGAAGCAGAACCATTAAAGTACAGTGCCCCCAACTTTCACTTTCCTGAGCTACTCCAGAAGGATATTGTGGTCAAAAGGTGCCAAAACATCAAGCAGAATGAACAGAAGTACACTCCCCACATCGCTCTTTGATGACAAATGTCATCAGCCGGGGCGGGCCAAGGCAGTTTCAGTGCCCTGACTGGGCCTGAAGCCAGGCTGAAATAGATCCAGACAATCAGTTACCTATTTTTACCTAGCAGTTAAACTATTTTGCAAAACCTGGACAAAAGCAATTAAATATTTCATGAAGTAGCTGCAGTTGCATGAGGAGCAAGTATCCGCTGCTAAAAATAGCCAAATGTAATAATGGGAAGCCTTTGCATGTCCTGTACTTGGTATAGATTTCCACAAAAGCTCAAGTTTTCCAAATGTGTTCTAGGATCAGTATATATATCTCCTTAATGCTTCACAGGTGGTGTTTATCACCAAGAAATCCAACAAGTTTCATAAACAAGCTGATGAATGCACTGTTATGCTACCATTGTGGATTTTTCTCACCTTCTTTTTATGGACAATTTCATCTGCATGAATGCCTTTAGATACAGCCCTTTGTGATTGCTGTTATTTTCACTTAAGAAGAACTGGCACATTATATTTCCCCCCACACAGCATCTTTTAGAAAGTACACTTTCAAAAGCTACTCCCTCTTGTCAGTCATCTCCCACCTTCAGACAATACGCAGAGCCTCTGTCAAAATCATCTTTCTCCCACGGTCACTGAAGTCATTCTTCTGTTAATCTTCTGCACTAGCTCAACTTCCTTTTTAACACTAATTTAAAACTCTAGTTCTTGATTTAAAGTGCAACCAATCCTGGCCTTCCCTGCCCAATCACCTAGAAGGCAAATGGCTAGATATATGATTGTAAAAACCATTATATTTCTTTGTGTCTTTTGGCTTATTTTTATTACTCAGAGGCCTCTCAAGTTATCTTGAGAGAGACATCTTGGGTGTGAGTCCTGGAAGACCTGCTCCATGCCTTGCAGGCCCTTTCCACTTGACTTGGCAGGGCGGGGCCCGGACTGACTCCAGCTACGAAAGCTAAGGCTGCTGAATACACTCTTTGGCTGGAGTATTGTTTAGGGGCTTTCACTGTTTTGTTGTTGTGGTGGTGGTTGTTGTTGCAGTTATTTATACATATTTTTGTATCTTTACAAAAGTACTTTACACAGTACTTTTTACTGTGTTTTATTTATTGCCTATTGTTTATGACTACTTTTATTATGTTTCGTGTTGTAAGCCGCCTTGAACATGGTTTTTAACTATGGAAAGGCAGTATAAAATTAAATGACAATGATGATGAAGTCAGCCTCAGCCCATAATGTGTTAACTTAAAAGAAACAAACAAACACACACACACACACACACACACACACACACACACACACCAACAAGGCTGTAGGAGATAAGAACCAACTCAAAGGAATGATAGGATCAGTCATGAAACATAATAGCTTTATGAGGTATTTCTGCGCACAATTCAAAGTGCAGGTTTTAACCTTTAAAGCTTAAACATTTTGGGAGAGGGTTGTTTAGAGGACTATCGGCAAAGACACAAACTTGCCCAGCTTTGAAATGTGTCTCAAGAGGCCCTGCTCATGTGGCTGCGTGTGATGTGAATTTGGTTAGTAAGCTTGAGAGAAAGGGCCTTTTCTGTGGTGGCACCCAGGTTGTGGAAACAACTGCCCTCAGGGATGGGCATAGCCTTTAACTGTGGGTTTTTAAAATGGTTTTAAGAAACTTCCTTTTTTGAGCAGCCTTCTCTTAAATCTGCCCCACCCCTGGCACGAAAGGTATTTTGCAGAATATAGCTATATTAGTTGTTACTATAGTCTCTTATTTGTTTTAATCGGCCTTTATAATGAGCAGCAAATGTCACTCCTTTTATCAGCCCTGATTATTCAAATTTTTCTCCTTATGTTTTTATGATGTGAGCCACCTTGGGGGCAGCATATAAATCTTTTTATAAACATAAATAAATTAGCGGCAGTGCTGTGTCAAATCCATCGCCAGAGTTTTTCTAAACCATTGTCCTTTTTATTATGCCACTTTTTTGGAGATGGGGCAAATTTCAGAGATGAGGCAGGCTTGGTCCATACCAGTTACATAACTTTATAAGGTGGCTGAGGAGCCAAGAGAAAGCTCCTGAAAACAAACAGTGTGCCAGTAACAACAAGCGTGATCCTGACTTTCAAAGAAGATTTTTCAGCCTGCCGGGATGGTATGGGATATACTCTTTTCCACCCAACCAGGGAGATCTTTTGAAAGCCAGGATTACCATCACTGTTACTAGTGCAATCCCTGCTTTCAAAGGCATTTTCTCTCCCAAAACCACCTTGCAAAATTCCTTTCTGATAGGGACCAGCCCTCAAATCCCTCTAAAATTCACCATGCCTCTCCCCCAATTTTCAAGGTGGATTTTTTTTTAATGCTTCTCATCATCACAATAATTTGCTTTAAAAAACAAACAAAAACAGCTGCACTCGTAAAGTTCAGCTCAGCTCCAGGCAAGGAGCAAGAATCTTTACTCTTCTGTAGAGCATGTTAACACAGTTGTGGCCCTTGCTGTTGAGCTGGGAACAGGAGAAGTGACAGCGGCAATATCAGAGAGAAAAAGTACTGAAATGTCATTTTGAACATATACATTTAAAAAAAATAAAAATCAACCAGTTATGGAAGACTGCATACTAAGACTTTCAACACCCTTAACTTTCCACCACCAAATAGAATAATCTGAAGGTCAAACACTGCATTTTTGTTAAATTTAGCATATCTGAAAAGAACACAGAGCATTCAACGAGGCTATCGTCTTTTCCTTTTTCTAAACAGCCTTAACCTCGTCTCACGTTTTTGCCACTAAAAGTGAGTTCAATGGGGCATAGATACGATGATTTATCGCCACCTTGAGGATACTTTGAAGTTCCACACCTCTGAAGCCCAAAGAGTTGTTCATTTATTAAATGGTTGCAACACAGCCATATGCTCAAAAGGCTGCATTATTAAAAATACATGGCACATTAACACCTTATGCTCTCTCTTTTACTTTGAGATTATTTGGATTTCCCCCCTAACTTGTAAGCACATTCCCCACCCCACCCCTCACCCAAAAGGACAAATCCCTTTAAAGTGCCATTGAAAATACAGATTCACAACTTAAACCATTGGAGAAGAAGGGACCCTTCCTGTATTCAAGATGGTTGATAGTCAACGCTGAAAACATTCTTGTTTAGGCAAGCCTACCCAGATGCTTAAGGGACACAGGTGGCGCTGTGGGTTAAACCACAGAGCCTAGGACTTGCTGATCAGAAGGTTGGTGGTTCGAATCCCCACCACGGGGTGAGCTCCAGTTGTTGGGTCCCTGTTCCTGCCAACCTAGCAGTTCGAAAGCACGTCAAAGTGCAAGTAGATAAATAGGTACTGCTCCAGCGGGAAGGTAAACGGCGGTTCCGTGAGCTGCTCTGGTTTGCCAGAAGCAGCTTAGTCATGCTGGCCACATGACCCAGAAGCTGTATACCGGCTCCCCTGGCCAATAAAGTGAGATGAGCGCCACAACCCCAGAGTCGGTCATGACTGGACCTAATGGTCAGGGGTCCCTTTACCTTTGCCTTTTTACTCAGATGCTTAGAAAGCTGAGGTAATTTTAAACTGCTTTAGCATGTTAGCTTTTGTTTGTTTAGAGTATAGTTCTGAATTTTTCCTCAATTATACTGTTTTATCTTGTTGTAAACAGCTTCAAGGCATTTTTAAAAAACAAACAGTGAATAAAACTTATTAATAAATAAGTGGCCCATTTTAGATAGCAACCCTCAGTAAATTTGGGGTGTTTAAGAGCCTATAAGGGTACAGATTTGTTAACTAAGGCATAAGGCACATCCACACAGGGCAGTTACGTCCACTCCCTTTTCAATATGGCACCACAGACCTATGTACCTTTAGAACTGTATTTTTTAAAATGTTTTCTGTGTTATTGTCAAAGTAGAAGTTTCCTGCAGGAAAAAAGATAGGAGTGGAAACATTTATTCTCCACGGAACTGGTTGTATAAGTGCATCATATTAATAATTAATAATTACTGATATACTTGAGAAGGGTGGCCTTTTTTGTATGTATTGTATAAATGATGCCACATACTCTTATTATAAAAAAGGACCTCTGGACAGTTAAGTCCAGTCAAAGACGACTATGGGGTTGTAGCGCTCATCTTGCTTTCAGGCCAAGGGAGCCAGCGTTTGTCCACAGACAGCTTTCCAAGTCATGTGGCCAGCATGACTAAACCACTTCTGGCGCAACGGAACACAGTGATGAAAACCAGAGCGCATGGAAACGCTATTTACCTTCCCGCCGCAGTGGTACCTATTTATCTACTCGCACTGGCGTGTTTTTTCAAACTGCAGGAGCTGGGACAGAGCGACAGGAGCTCACCCTGTCAAGGGGATTCGAACCGCTGACCTTCTGATCAGCAAGCCCAAGAGGCTCAGTGGTTTAGACCACAGGGCCACCTGCATCCCTACTCTTATTATATCCTTTAACACACTAGCAAAGTAAGGCAACTAAAAACTCTAACTTACAAACAGGAATTATCCTCATCATTTTACCTTTTCCATATACACCTTTTGCATTTTTAACTGAGCAAATAGTAGTTGCTAAATGTACCTGGCTGATTAGAAGATTGCCAGCTTGAGGTTTTGACTGCATACTGAGGTCCTGTCGGCTTGACAGCTGGCACAGATGCTGGATTGGCAGGAACTGGTCCACGTGTGCCGTTCTCTGGAGTTTCAGGCATGCTCCTTACTGTGGCAGCAGTGTAAGCAGTAAATTGTGTTTGCTCCTGGGAATCACTATTTGGAAACAAAATATTATCCCTTAGTTTAGAGCATTCACAAAACAAGGGTAGATGAAGTTAGATGAATGTGCTCTTGATTTATATAAATATGAAGGATAATTTTTATCTGAAATTCTGAAATATTTATCTTTCATTATATCCAACACACACACACACACACACACACACACACAGCAATGTATTTGTCTTATGACAATTCGGACTCAGGGAATATGACAGCTCTCATTTTCAATGTTTTGAAACCCAAGCACACACTGAAATAGCAAAATGCTGAGATCAGTTACACAACTGGTACATAATGCTAAGGTATAGTGTTTCTGAAATGCCCAAGACAAATGAACAAACAAATCAGGAAAAATACTTTTAAAAGATAAGCTTACACCTCTGGAAATAACAAGCTTATTCCAGGTTGCACTGTGGCTGATGTCACTATTGAAAATTCAGTGTTTTTGTTATCAAAACACTGGTCAGATGCACCCAAGGCTTTCCGTTTGAAGCCATTCCAGTAGGCAAGTGAAACTAGCAGATGCTTTAAGTCTGTTATTTTTTTGCTGCTACTTACTATTACAATTATATTCCATCTTTCCTCCAAGGAGCATCTAGAGTATGAGTACATGGATCTCCCTCTTTCATTTTAACCTGTGAGTCAAGCTAGGCTAGGCTAAGAGATAGCGATTGGCCCAAGATCACCCAGTGAACTTTGTGACCGAATGGGGATTTGAAAACGATTCCCCTTGGTCCTAGACATTTCACTCACAATACCACACTAGTTATTACACACAAATTAAATAAGCACAGAATGGAACACTATATGTAGGATGAATGATAACAGTAAAAATAAAGCCATACAGCTGCAATGCAACAAACTATGGGTATTTTAATGGAAGGGAAGGCTGCAGCCTTAGTGGAGAGTGGCCTTTTCATGAAACTTTTGATTTATAGCTCACTCCGATGCCTATTGAGCTTAGAAGGAGGCTCTCTGTCAACATTTGCGGCAGGTCTCACACACCAATAACTGTTGGAACTGTTTTTGTAAGATGTACTTCATCAAATCAGAAAACATTTTCCTCTTCTGCTGCTGCACTCCCTCTGGGCGTCCTCCCAGTGGTAATCTTTACATCACGTTCAAGTAATCATGGAAATGCTTTCAATATGCAGCACGACGACTTAAAAAGCGCTAATTTCCATAGCAATCGGCTTTCTGGCATAATTCTGTGTATCAGTCAGACTGATTAATGGGACAGTGTTTTGAGGGAAGAAAATCCCACATTAATATTGAGAAACACTAACACAGAGTTGCTCATCTGTCAAGTTCATTTAACACAGCCAGCAAAAAGCTCAAGAATGAGCTCCCCTGGCAACTGGGTACCTCCCTCAGAGGAATGCATCTTTTACCATTAAAAGTAGTAAAGGACTTTTAAGTTCCTTTAAGTGATACAATTTCCCTGATCTGTAGCTTTAAGAAAGCCTTTCAAATTACATTTAAGAATCGGGGGGGGGGGGGGAGAGACCATGTGCCATGAATGCGAAAGGTTTCAGGTACAATCCCCAACATCTGCAAGAAAAGAGATTCTGCCAGTTACTTGGCCTCCGGATAGTGTTGGACTCCCATCAGCCCTGACCATTGGCCATGCTGGCTGGGATTGATGGGAATTGTAGTTCAGCAAAACCTAGAGACAAAAGGCTCCCCACCCCAAGACAAAGGTACATGGATGTGTCCGACTCAGTACAGGGCAGCTTCCCATGTCCTTCTTTTAAAAGATATAAGGCAGGCAGGCTAGAACATGTTATTTAATGCATCGCCAGTGCTTTTCATTTTCTTACATATGATAGGTTGGTTCTAATTAAGTTTCAGTTTTAGGCTGAAACGACCAACACTCCTTTTATCAAAAGAGCTAGTAAAAGCTCAGAGAAATTTTGAAGGTGGGAAGGGAGACTTAATTGCTGTGAGAGCTCTGGCCCCTTTCCCCTCGGCCTTCCTATTCCTGCTGCCCCTTCCCCATCTTCCATCCCCTCAGATTCTCTTACTTTCTCTTTGCCACCAAAAGAGCCAAACCAGATACGATGGGGCAGCCATATTTGTTGCTCATGTGTCTGTCCTGTTTGTGCATTGAAATGGAGGGAATTCAAAGAGGCATGCAAGTGAGAGGAGCTTACCTCTCGACACTTCGCCTCCCTGAGATCTGTCACTTCAGGTACTTTTCTCTCAGCTCACTTCCAATACCGGAGACAGATTGGGAGAAAAAGTGCCTGAAATGATGAAGTGCTTTCCTAAAGCAGGAAAGACAAAAGGGGCTCACACCTCACACGTCAATGCCCTGGTTTCACTGTGGAATAGTGAGATGGAAAGGGTCACTGACATGACTGTTCCTAAGCCCCCTCTCTCTCCATGGGAAGTTTGGGAGGCTGCTTGGTTTACCAAAAAGCTTCAGAAGATAAAGGAGGCCAGACACTGTCTACAGCAGGTGGCACACGTTCTGGTGTGAATCTGATCAAAAAGAGACACGAGTGCATAGCCATTCCAACTGGATGGCACTGATGGCTGTGAAAAAAGCATCTCTCTCTGCCTCTGTTGCATCCTCAGTGAATCACCCAAGTAGGGGCTATTAAGAATGGTAAATTAGGTGGTCCAGACCAGTGTGGTATCATTGACAGAACACCAGTCAATAGCCTTCTGTGAGAGATCTGTGAATCACTTTGGGGGGGGGAGGTGTGTAAGGGTATGATTTTCTCATCTCATTTCAATTCACAGCAGAGATCTATCCTGACAGTTTGCCTGAAATCAATACTTCCCATGTCTGACTTCTGAGGTTACATATGAGGATATTTTGCTTTCAGCTTCAAGATTTAGAAACCTGCTTCAAGTCCTCCAGAGATCAAATCAAACTCACTAACTGTTAAGAGCATTGCAGCTGGAAATATAATTTGAACATGCAGAAAATAGAATTAATTAAATTTAGTAAAAAGCTAAATTAGCGACAGTGACTAATGAAGAATGAATTAGAGCAATAGAGCCACTTAAGTAAAAGTTAATGAGATACAGAAGAGCTGAAGTATGCAAAGCACTTGCCTAACCTATGTATTGCATTTCCCCAAGCTAGAATTAATTCTGTAAAGTAGATCTCTACATATAATTTTAAAAGATTTCCCCCCCTCTTCCTCATCTACCTAATTTATTGCCGTATTCTTGAAGAACAATGAACTCTCTCGGGCTTTTATGGGGACAAGACAGAGAACTGCTGCAATCCAGGAACTCCCTTTGGTGCAAGAAATTTAAAAAGTTACACATCATGCAGTACAGGTTAGGGTGCTCTTTTGTGAAAAGGAATGAATTTCAACATGGGCAATTTTGCATCATTGTCTGCCTAGATTGCAACTTGGTACATGAGCAACAAGCTAATGTACAAAAGTACTTCAGAAAGTTAAGCAAAACAGTGGGGCGGTCATTCCCAGGGCAGACTACAGAGGTCAGAAAGGCCAGACATCTGCTGGATTCTTTAGATCAGGAAGCCTACAGTTCAGAGCCACTACTATCATTTTGCATTGAAGAAGAGAGTAGCAGGCAAACATTCCTGGTCAAAAATCCCCCACTAGTGAGACAGCTTGCCCATACAGATCCCTAAGCACTGGCCATAGCGCTGTTAATTCCAGAAATAAGTAAATCTACACAGAAACAGTTTATTTTTCGCCACACAATGCAATTAACTCTAACTTTTAAATACGTTTCAGTACCCTCTGTAAGCAAAACCATTTCTCAGCAAGATTTGTGCTCTTTAATCCTTCCAGTTTTGTTTTCTACATTAAATGTCAAATTTTATTCTCATTATATCAAGCATGGTTCACCTCTACCTGACAGCAACCCCCCTGGGGGGGGGGTGTTTGGTTTTATTCTGCCTCCCAACACTCCCTAAAATTTGACATTTTTGCCCACTACTGCCAATCTGTACATGGAAACTGCAATGCAGGCTGATAAGAGACTGTGCTTATATGGTATACCATTTGACAAAGGGAATATGAAGACAGACTTAGCAGGTAAAGCAAAATATTGGGGGAAGGGAGATTAAAGGAGAGAGTCAGTCATACTGCATAAGGGCTCAGACAAACTTTGCATCAATGTTTCATGAGGGAAACTTGAAAAGTGCAAATAGATGCACTTTTTTGCAGGAGAGCATTCCAAAGTCAGGCCACCACCACAACAAAGATCATATTCCATAACCACCTGCCTCGCTTATGAAGATAGGGAAACACAATTTGAGCAGGACTCTTTCTAGAACCTGTTGCTGGGTTGTAACTATAGGTCAATCCTTTAAGCTATTCTACTGAGTCCCGGGCTTTCCTTAAGGAAAGGGCTTTCCTAAGGTATCTTCTTTTACTACCTACTGATTTAGAGAGCAGCAAGACTCTCCTTCTAAAAGGAGACTCCCCTTTGTGGCATAGATGTCTAATCAGTGAACACAAGAACCAGAACAGTTATTAGATGCAGGCATTCTTATAACTCTAGCATTCTGACTTAACATGCTGTCTCTCCAGCAACTATTCCCACTCCTTTTTACAAATACCATATTTTTTGCTCTATAAGACTCACTTTTTCCCTCCTAAAAAGTAAGGGGAAATGTGTGTGCATCTTATGGAGCGAATGCAGGCTGCGCAGCTATCCCAGAAGCCAGAACAGCAAGAAGGATTGCTGCTTTCACTGCACAGTGATCCCTCTTGCTGTTCTGGCTTCTGAGATTCAGAATATTTTTTTTCTTGTTTTCCTCCTCCAAAAACTAGGTGCGTCTTGTGGTCTGGTGCATCTTATAGAGCGAAAAATACGGTAGTTGTACCTTGGAAGTCAAACGGAATCCATTCCAGAAGTCCGCTTGACTTCCAAAATGTTTGGAAACCAAAGCACAGCTTCTGATTGGCTGCAAGAGGTTCCTGCAGCCAATTGGAAGCCGCGGAAGTCATGCCGGACATTCGGCTTCTGAAAATTGTTCGAAAATCAGAACACTC